GCTTGAACAACTAAAGCAGCAGCAGCGGTTGGCTATTTAAAATCTCTACATTCAGTGTAAAAGAGGTACGTGAGGGGTCCTGTTGTTCCTGGAACTGTGTTTTATGGGAGACAGACAAACAGCCCAGAGCAAAAACACACACAAACAGCTGTAGACAAACAGTATGTAGACATGTGGCTGCCAAGACTGAGCTAAACTGAATTTACTTCAGTAGAGATGTGTTTAGAGCTGATTTCCTGTTCATCACTAAACAAAACACCTGAAAATGTGTTTTAAAATGTGAACACATGCTAATATTGAAAAAAAAAGTGAGTACACAAGCAGATCTGTTTTGCTTCTCTTTGTTTGACAGGAGCGGACATGCAACATCGATGGGATGTGTTTTGCAGCAGGAGACTCCAATCCCAGCAGTCCTTGCCTCCTCTGTGACCCAGACGCCTCCAAATTCACCTGGTCTGTGAACCAAGGTACACACAACTCGAAGTGGATCTCACCGTCTGAAAGGAGAACAACCTTTTCTACCTAAACAAACTCAGAACCATCATTAAATTCTCCCCGTGTACTTGGTTTTCCATCTGCCTTGCAGTCCACTCGAGATGAACAACATCAGGGAAAAAAGGCATTTATCTCACCGTGTCAGTGCAGTGGTAGCCATCCAACTGTGGTCCTGTTTGTCTCCATTAGCAGATCAAAGGAGCAGAGGTTTAGGTTTCCCAGCATGCCCTGACCTGCCACTTAACCACTCTCGGAGCGGGAGTAAATCACATGGTTGGTTTCCACAGCAGCACAGACAGGCAAGATTCATGCAAAAAGCAAAGGGACGCTGGAATAAATGACCAGCGTAACAGTTAGTCTTATTTTAAGGATTAAAACGTATAAATAGATTTTATTTTCTCAGTTTTCACTTCTCACAACTCAACTACAAAGTAGAAAACAGAGGAATAAATGCACAAGAATAAAACACAATATACAGATGAATTTGAATGCATCAATAAAAATTAAGCTATATATTCATCTTATATAATAATGTGTTTGGGATCATTGTCATGATGAAAAATGAAGCTACTGTCTATCAGATGCTTTCCAGATAGTATTGCATAGTGGCTCAAAATATGATGGTACTTTTCTGTGTTCATAATTTATCAATTTTGAGAAGTTTTCCAACACCACTGACTGAAATGGAGCCCAAACCATGACAGAGCCTCCACCGTGTTTTACAGATGGCTGTAGTCACTCCCTGTTGTAGCTCTCTGCTGACCTCCTCTGTACATACTGACAATGATTTGAAACAAGAAAGTCAAATCTGGATCTGTCACTCCATCAGACCTGTTGCTACTGATTTTCAGTCTAGCTCTTGTTTAATGTGGCATACCTCAGCCTCAGCCAAAACATTACTGGGAAATGAAGCTGAAAAGAAAAGAAAAGCTCAAGTCCAGAGGTGGACATGCGTGCTTACAATGATTGTTCCAGAACAAGCCTGGAGGTGTGTTTTTGCCAAACCAGGGTTCCCTGTAAAGAGCTTATTTCAGCACAGGAAGCTCCTGTCATCAAACGCTTGTAGTAGGAAGACAGTAAATAGTACGGTGGGAATAAGAGGTGGGATGAAGTGCATCTCAGTCTGTTTTTGTCTGCATTATCAGTCAACAAGCCTCCGACTTTCCACCGGCCTCAAAGCGTCCTGCAGACATTCTCCAGCGAGAACTTCGTCTTCCAGTTTACCGCATCGGACCCCGAGGGCTCGGCGCTTCTCTTCCAGCTGGAAGAGGGACCAGAAGGTGCTGTCCTCTCCCCTGCTGGCCTCCTTATCTGGAGGGTCCCATCAGTTCCAGAGAAGGAGGGGCTCCGGACGAGCAGCTCTGTCCGATTTACGCTGTCTGACGAGTGTAACGCCCAGAGCACCTTCACTGTGGAGGTAGAGTGGGGATAAGCTGCTAAGCAGTAATCTGCTGATGTAAATGTGACACACTGATGTTGTTAGATATTAATAAAATCCAGACATTCCTCAGCAGTGTCTGTGTTTCCCATCTGCAACACAGATTGTCGTGGTGCCGTGTGGCTGCCAGAATGGAGGCTCATGTGTGACGGATATTAACTTTCCCGCCGGCAGTGGGAAGTACCTGTGTGTGTGTCCCGAGGGTACTCAGGGCGAACTCTGTGCCGACGACATAGACGAATGTCTGTCGGCTCCATGCTTGGGCAGCAAGTGCCTCAATGTGGTCGGTGGGTACAGGTGCGAGTGTCCTGCAGGGCTGCGAGGTAAGAATGATTAAAAACCTAAAGATTTTTAATCAAAAATGAACAAAATAAAAGCCCTTGATGTTTAAGGCTGTTTTGTTTAGACACACTGGGCTGTTCTGACATCACATGTTTGCAGTCGCGGAGGATTAATCCCAGTGATGGTTTTTGATTACAGAATCAACATCCTCTGTGTGTGTGTTTTGGCAGGTTTAACGTGTCTGGAGGATGTCAATGAATGTGAAAGGAAGCCCTGTTTTCCGGGAGTGCAGTGCTTCAACAGCTTTGGCTCCTATGGCTGCGGCCCCTGCCCCAAAGGAATGGTGGGAAATGGGACTTTGTGCACTGGTAAGTATGGGCTTACTGCATTACTACTCATAGGCAGTTTATAAAAGATGGAGCTCCACTAAGAGACACTCATTCGTGAGCCTCTGCTCCTTCACATTTAAAGGAGCCATTGAGGTGGATGCCTCCTGCATGCCTGCTAATTGAGGTTTTCCCAGCATGTCCAAATGGGAGTGGACCCCTAGGCAGACCTGGTGAGATTATGTATTTCAGCTGGCTTGGGAATATATCTGCTTCTGCCCCCATAAGAGAGAGGAGGTGGCTGTTGAGAGGGAGGTCTGGGCATGCCTGCTTAAACTGCTGCCCCTGTCACCAGAATAAGTGACAGAAAATGTAGCTTCTAGGTCTGGAAATATTAAGGCAGTGTGGAAGTTCTTTAATTGTGCATTATTTATAATACCCAGCAGGGGGTGACCCCTCTGGTTTCAAGAAGAAGCCAGATTGTATAGAAGTCTATGGCTAACTGACCCTAATGCAAACCAACTCTTCCATGATGAGTGGTCAGATAACCAGACTGAACCAGAAGCTTGGTTAAGGCTACCAAACGCATCTGGTCAAGGTGCAACTTGCTAAATGACATAATGGACCCGACAAAATATTAGTGGGAGTGTTTGTCTGTATTTTAGCCTGTATGTTCACTTTTGGCCCAGTGTGGATTAGAGATAATCCAACATAACTTCAAACGTGTGCACCCAGTTCTTGATTTTTTTGAAGTCATTAACTGTACAGTGCTGTACAGCATTGTCCCATTGCATGCTGTGCAATCATTCCACCCCGGAAAAAGAACAGTTCAAAGAAATCATTAAAAGCCCAACATTTCCGTGACATTCGTGCCCATGATGAGTGGATGTAAACGTCTGACCACAATAGTATATGTCTTGAGCAGAAACTGACAGGAAGCTAGGCGTGATTAAGTAACGTCAGGTTAAACACACGGCGCCCAAACGAGACCACTTATTTTCCTATAGTTAATCCTGCTTTCCAAAACAGCCCTGAGTTTATCAGATACTGCTGTTGTCTGAGAGGGTGAAGCCCCTCTGTACAGTTTACAGCCTCACATAATACAAAAATAGTCAATTTCTCTGTTCATTTCCCAGCAGCATTTATCATATGTTCATCTGTCTGTTGCTGTGATATTGGTTCGAGCATTCCAGCAAACTTGTAGCTAATTTTGTTGTTGTTCCAACTACATTTAAATTAAAGCATCAGCTATCCAAAAAAAGGGTTAATTCGTTCATTGGAGCCGTGTGTCCCGGAGGAGCACTCAGCAGTGAATGGAAACCAGATGGCTGATATTGCTGCCTTGTACTGTGACCGCTCACGTTGTTTTGGAAAGACTTTTGGCTTCAACCAAAACTCAGTAATTATATAAAAATACATGCATAATCTGGTAACTTCTGCTGTTGCGAAACTGCAGCTTGATTTGTTTCCTTTATATTGTTGCAATCTGTGCCAGTTGGTGGGAAATGCCTCGATGTTGAAGCGCGCTTTGTTTTAGGTCAAAGAGGGTGTTCCCAAATTTTTCAAGGCTAATGGCTAATCAGTTATTATTTTTCAGGCATGCAGAGATTGTCTTTTTTCTCCAACATTCAAGGAACATAACCGTGTCTTTAGGCAGCTATGGTGACGTGACGAAGAAATGCTATCTCAATTAAGATACTTGTCACAATACAAATCCTGCCATGAACCTGCATTCTATTCAATGAGCTGTAGTGGGCAATTCTCTCGGTTACAATGAGACTTCTGGGTGGAACGAAGCCTAATGTAAAATGGCCCTCTGCTTTGACCTCAGATCCTGATGATTTTATGGTGCCGACCTCTGGTTGTGACTTCATCTTTTATTTTGAAGTCATAAGGCATTAGCCAATGAGTGTGCAGTTTCACAGTCAGTGTTAATTAACAGACCACT